GATATATACCACATGTGGTGGTTTTACCCATTCTTAGATGGTGGTGGTGAACAGAGGGGTTTGCAGCCAGCCTTAATGATAGGCTTGTCTTTTTTTTTTGTTGATTAGCAATTTAATGTAGTGTTCTGCCTAATTTAGAAGTGAGCTCGACTGCAGTTGACGGCATGCACTAATAGGAGTTGTGCTATATTATACCTGTTCTTGTAGTGTTGATTGATGTCTTTCACAAAACAATGTAGACACAAAAAATCAGTTAAGCTGTCTCCAGTGGTTGCTGTCTAAATGATGAGTACTGAAGAGCAACTCAAACTTATATGTGAGAACTACAACAAAAGATACAAGTGTAGTTGTGCACCATGATTATTATCCCCACCTCACTGCATATTAAGAGGCCACCAACCTGAGGTGTTCACCAATTGCTTCAGTGGGATCTCCTTCTTGTTGTTTTTGCAACAAATAACTCCATGACTACATTCACGGAAAAATGGCATGTGCAGAAAGCAAACTCTTCAGTCCTGCCAACTGCATGCATGACAAACAGTCCACTGTGAACATATCAGCAGTCACCTTTTGTTGGACTGTATTTGCAGTTCAATCAAAACCACGGCATTTAAAGAGAGGCAGCTATTTCATCTGCTGTCATTTATATTTGGCTGTGTAGCTCTGTTCTGGGACCTCCACACATGTGCACATGGAACGCCATAGAGTAAGAGCATCAGCAAGACCCAGTGCAGAACAGAGCAGGGATCGGTGACATGATGGCATGAAAGGAGGAGCTGGGGTGGAGGTGGATTGCAAAGGGGCATGCAAGCTAATGAACCTTTAGTAGTTGCAGTAATGCTTGTTTAAAGGATGTAGAGGTGCTTATATTGTAATATGTGAAGCACAGGTTGCTCTCTTAGGGTTTGATTCATGTCGTGGACCTAAAGTCATGTCTCCCAGCTGTAAGTCATTAGAACACCCATCAAAGCTTTTTTAAACACCTGTATTAGGCTAACAGGTTTCCTTTAATTTTGTCTCTGCCGTTAGTATTTCAGCTCCTTATGGTAAGTTCCCAGTAGATATGCTCTTCCTGTTTTGGTAGCCATCATCATCATACAAGGTGATAAGCAGAATTGCATTGTAAATGTGTGACTGATAGGGAACACGCATGTTCTCATTATTATAGCCACTACTTTGTGAAATGAACATTTATTTCAAAATGAAGAAGTAAAAAGAGAAGTAAGAGGAAGCCTGCCGATAGCAACTTTAAAGTGACGCTGCAACTCTATGCTTTGTGTTTTAAGTGTGTAGATAGCAGAGGATAGTATAAGCCGTAAATGAGCAAAAGATGATTTGCAACTAGTGGGAGGGAGGAAGTGCATATTCACTTTGATTCATGATAGACTCAGTTGCCATCTCTTTTTTTTCTATCGTCAGCATTCCTCATTTCAGCTTCCTTTCATTTTCACACTTTTGACTAAAATGTTTATCTGCAGTCTCATAAGCATTTAATGTCCTTACATTGACATCCAGTCTTGTACAAAGAAAAAGTTTCTTAAATCAAACATTCGTCAGTGGAGAGGGAGATCTCACCACGTCAAACATTCAAAAAGCAGTCAGATCAGTCCTGTAAGGCAGAATCTTTGATTCTTTACAGGAATACTTACGGAGCTGTCTTTGAGAACCAAATATATGGTAGGAAATCACAACAGTGTGAGATGTGTGGGGACCAGCTGTATGCTGGCAGAACAGATCTATAGTCTGGAGCGAGCCGGTCGGTCATTGCCAGTTTATCCAAACTGATGTTTGAACAAAGGTCTGTATTGATCTCAATATTCAAGGCACTACTTCACATGCTTTAATCAGTTCTGACATGGTGCCCCTTTGTTTATAGTAAGAGATTGGGTTTCTGATAATGTTGTGGTCATTTCAGCATCGGTGGAGTTAAAGTGTGTCTTTAACAGTCAGCTTTTATTCACAGTAATTTCATTTGTTTTAATTAAGACATAGCGCCTCGCTCGTACGGCTGCTTGGGATCGCCTGAGGTTTTTCCTGCTCTGTAAAGAGAATGTGTAAAGACGACAGGCTGCACACTGACTGCTGCTATAAATTCACTCGCTCGCATTTATACCCTGCCAGCAGTATCAAAGTTCACTTTTTCCATCTGTCACGTGCTCTGTGCTGACACACACAAGGGAGTGTGTGCACTCAGGAAAATGACTAAGCAGACTGACTTGGCGTGCTCTCTGTGTGTTTGTGTGCCGCAGTGTGGAAGGTGATGCTCCAGGAACTGAAGTGGGAGCTTCTGTGGACCCTAGTGGTGGCTACAGTTGTGTCCCAGTGACCCACAGCGGCGGGCTCGGCCCCGACCACCTGGACAGCCAGCTCTACGGGCACATCTTGCTGCCAGGCCACCCACGGCCCAGACGGCCCAAGCTTCAGCACTCTCAGTCCATCCTCCGCAAGCAAGCAGAAGAGGAGGCAATCAAGCGCTCCCGCTCGCTGTCAGAGAGCTATGAGCTCTCATCTGACCTACAGGACAAGCAGGTGAGACGGGAAAGGGCCACACTAACTTACATTTGTTAAAACGTAGAGTAATGAGTAGCTTGAACACAGAGGCATTATGAGCAGATGTGTAGTAGA